TCCCCCCCCCCCCCCCCCCTTAGATTTGCTTGTTTCCGGAACGGCTTGAATCGCTCTTCCTTTCCTAATTTCGACAATCGCCGCCGAAAAACATGCCGCACACGTCTCAATCAAAACCGTGTCGTGTTTTGCTCGCGTCATTCGCGTATGTTGGCGACGCCATGTGACCGTTTTTTGTTTTTCTCGTTGGTCGTGGTTGCCATGGCAGGTTCCGAAGGCCGCTAACCCCTGAAGACGAGGCGAGGGAAATCCTTTGCGGGGTTATTCTCAGCCACGTCCCAGTGGTGAGAGAGGGAGAGGGAGAGGGAGGGAGGGAGGGAGACAGNGGGGAGAGGGAGAGAGAGCGGCAGAGGCAGAGGCAGAGGCAGAAGCAGAGGCAGAAGCAGAGACAGAAAGCGGGGCGGGGGGCGGGTAGAGAACTGGTGTAGGGAACTGGTGTGGAGAACTGGAGACACAGAGAAACCAACGTCCCTGCTTCTGCGGTTGTGTTGTAGCCGGTTTTAACTACGTCCGTCCGTCACTGCCCAACGGAAAGACCTCATTTGCGGTTTGCCTTGAAAAAATAACCTGGCACCCGTCACGCATGTGCAAAACGTTGCTATTGCCTCTGATTACATCTCCCCGTCTTGTGTAGGCTGGCTGCATGGCTGCACTCGCGATGAACGAACAACTTCTGCTCTGCTGTGCTGCGATGCGTAGGTGGGCTACGACTTCCGCGCGAAGATCGTCTACACGGCACACATCGTCCGGAGGGTCCTAATGACCGTCATCGACCCTTCCACCGTGGACGACAAGGTTAGCTAAGTCGATCGACGAAGAGGTTAGCTACCTATAAGTTGTTTACACGATATGTTCGTTGTTTTCTTTTTTTGTTTGGGGGGGGGGACTGGAGACCGACTAAATTCAACAGATGAATATGACGAGGGGGGCCGCATTTTCAACGTGATTGTGGAGGTTGTATGCATACAGAAAAGCAGATGCATCCTTTTGGCTTGGCAAGACGTCAGTATTGTATGTTTTGTTGGCCAACGAACCCCGTTACATCGCTCGTTCCTGAACGCCTAGGACTACTACGGGAACAAGCGTCTGGAGCTCGCGGGTCAGCTGATCTCGCTGCTGTTTGAGGACCTTTTCAAGCGTTTCAACAGCGAGCTCAAGCGGAACGCAGACATGGTGCTGTCCAAGCCCAACCGCGCCGCGGCTTTCGACATAGGTACATACACATAATACATTGTTTTTTTTTCGTTTGGGTTCATTATTCGGTGTGTTCTTGTTGATGGCACACGAATGCAATGTTGTTTTTTTCAATCAGCTTTTAGTGAAAGATGTTTTGAGTCATGACCTGCCTAACGATCGTTGGATATCCCTCATGTTTTGTTGTTTGGTCCAATATTTATATTTCCGATAGGTGGTTAGATTTGTTCTGGTGGGTGCACATGAATGGCGCGGTGACGTTTTCAATATCATTCTGACTGCAAGATGTCCGTATTAACCTCTCGATTGATTGCCGGGTATCCTCGTGTTGCGTACGTACACGAGCTTGGTCACGTACACTGTTGCACGCGACCAACCACAGTTATGCCGGAGAGGTTATTTTCTCTACAGGGGGGCTTTACAGACGTAGGCTAGCCTTCGTGACTTGTTTATCTTGTCGTTGGCTGCGCCTTTTTTCGTGTCCAACGTCTGATCTCTGGAAGTGTGTACCCTTTTTGGGCAATCGGCCTGTGACCATGGAAGGCGTCGGACCGGTACGGGTATTCGAAGGTACTGAGCACAGACCGGAACGGTTTTTAATGCGAAAACAACAAACAACAACATGAATCCCTTGAAATTTGCTTGTAGACTATGGTAAGTGGTGTCGAGCGAAATCAAGTTACAACGTCCGCCAACGTACGTGTGCGCTTCGCTTCTTCCGTGCGCTTTTCCTGGAACGCACGCTTTTGCAACCAGGCAAGTTTCTAGAGGGTTCTACCACGATCACGAGCGGATTCACGCACGCCATCTCATCGGGAAACTGGGTCCTGAAGCGGTTCAAGGTCGACAGGCAGGGAGTTACGCAGGTATCTTGCGACTTTTCCCGGGGCCTGCAACCCGATGATCTTTTTTTTTTTGTTGCTGTCGATGCTGCTACTGCTTGGGCGTCATGTCATGTGTGGCAGACGGACGGGGGCCTTCTGGTGTCGGGCGGGCTCTGCTTTCTAAGTGGCGTGTGGGTCGAGGTGTCCGTGTCCGGTGTGTTGCGCGTTGCTCTCTTGGTTTGCTAAAAGGCATATTTAGGTCGTCGCGAAGAGAGGGAATCGTCCTCAACGGTCTTTTGTGTGTGTGTGTGACCACCCCCCTCTTAAGCGGTCATCTTTGTCATCTAGGCACGTTTTTTTTGTTGTGCGCTTGGCTTGTGGCCACGGTCGAGAGCCGCCTTGAGACGACGGCTATTTGCGAGAGGACCAACAGCAACTATCAACCATGGGACCGACCACAACAATGGAGTCAACAAAGGACCACAACAAACACAACAACAAGAATATGACAACCACAACAAACAAAAGCAACAACATGTTACAATATAACGCAGGTGCTCTCGCGGCTGAGCTTCATCTCGTCCCTGGGTATGATGACGAGGGTGGACTCTCAGTTCCAGAAAGAGCGCAAGGTATCAGGGCCCCGCGCTCTTCAGCCCAGCCAGTGGGGTATGCTCTGCCCCGCGGACACCCCAGAAGGAGAAAGCTGCGGCCTCGTCAAGAACCTCGGTGAGAGACTACCCCCCCCCCCGGAGTGTGATCCTTGCGAAACGTAGCCTGGGCAGACGAAAGCCAGGCGTATGTATCGCTCCGTCCCTGCATCATTGTAGGGATGCGAGGTCAAAGGTTGCCCCTCGTGTTTCTCGACGGCTCTGTCGTCGGCGCCATATGAAGGGATGGGGGGGATGCCCTCGCTCGGTGAAACCGTGAAATCGAACTGCGGTGGGTTTGGTGACATGGCACGTCACATGCCTGCCTGGCGCTGTACCGTGTACCATCAGCGCACACATCACCCCAAACTCGTCCCCCTCCCCCCCCCGTGTCACTCACTTCTTCGTTCGTTGTTTATTTTTTGTTTTTTCTTGTTCTCCATTACCAGCGTAACATCACGCGTCTCACCGCTTCGTCGTCTTTTTTTTGTTAACCTTGTTGCTTGTTTTTGTTTTGTTTTTCTCCACTGTCAGCGTACACTCCCGACTCGAACCCCCCCCCTCGTGTCACTCCCTCCTTCGTCAACTTTTTTTTTTTTCATCCATTGTCAGCGCTCTTGGCGCACGTGACCTCGGACCAGGAGACAGGGCCGGTGCTGCGGCTGTGCTACGACCTAGGGGTGGAGGACGTGGCCAGGCTATCCGGCGGCGAGGTCAACGGTCGCCACTCGTCCCTCGTGTTTCTCAACGGCTCCATCGTCGGCGCCACCGGGTGCGTTACTTGCTTTTGCCTGCTTTTGCCTACTTTTGCCTGCCTTGCCGGCTTCCGTTCTGCCTGCTTTTGCCTACTTGCCTACTTTGCCTGCTCTGCCTGCTTTTGCCTGCGTGGCTTGCTGCCTTTTGCCTGCATTATATGATTGTGTCTATGCCGCCGTTAAGTGTAGTCGAAAGTAGTCTTCCATACGCAAACACCACGACATGCCTCTCTGCCTGTCTGTCGCACACACTCTCATAATAACAATGAGTTGTTCATCATTGCTTGTGGTTTGTTTGGCCTTGACTGGCTCAGGGCGTGATGTTTGATGGCTTCTTCTCTCGATCCCTCCTGTTTCTCAAGTCTGTACCATGTTCTTCGCTTTCATTTCGTGGTCTCTCTCACGCTGCGCCCAACCCACGCAAACTTGGACCTCGCGCTATTGCAGCTTTTTTGGATAATGCACGGCCGAGGGTCAGCTCGTCTTCCATCTCGACGGAAGTATATCTGTGCTTGTGTTCCTCCCGCCCACTTCTGACTCCAGTCCACGAACCTCTCGGCCGGCGAATGTGCCACACGCATCAGCGAGTGCATGGCGCTCTCTTTAACATCCTCCCAACACTTAACTGTTATTTTTCTCTTCACATGTAAGGAAGGCGTTCCGATCTCTGAAAATTGCGATTCCTCAGTTTTTTGTTTTTTTCTTCGCGACCACGGCGGCGATGATTTACAGGCACCCGTTTTTGCTGGCCAACAAGATTCGCTTCCTGAGGAGAAAGGGCATGGTGGGCGAGTTCGTCAGCGTCTACCTGCACTCGGTTCGGCGTGCCGTGTACATCGCCAGCGACGGGGGTCGGGTGTGCAGGCCGCTGCTGGTGGTGGAGAACGGGCGCACCCGCCTGACCAAGACCCACCTCGACCAGATGGCTCTGGGGGTGCTCTCCTTGCAAGGTTTGAAGCCCCAAGCTAGCTCGCTGCTCGTAGGAGCTGCCTCGAGCCTCGTTTTGTTCTTGTTCGTTTTCGTGGTTGTTTATATTTCTCATCGCCCTACACGTCGCATCCCGCTGTTGCAGGCTTGACTCTTTTCGTTTCTCGTTGTTTCTCTCATCTCCGTGGGTTACGAATCCGCTGCATCAAGACTTCTTTCGCCTCTTTTTGTCCCCGTTTTTCCCGCGCCCCTCGGCAATGTCCCGCCGCTTCAGACCTCATCAAGCAGGGTGTCGTGGAGTACGTGGACGTGAATGAGGAGAACAACTGCCTTGTGGGCCTCGCCGACGGCGACCTGACCATCAACCACACCCACCTCGAGATCGACCCGCTCACCCTCCTCGGCGTCGTGGCCGGCCTCATCCCCTACCCCCACCACAACCAGAGCCCCCGGAACACGTACCAGTGCGCCATGGGCAAGCAGGCGAGAAGAGGGGGAGGAGGGGGGGGGGGGTACTCATAGTCGTGCATGCCGTACGTAGTCGTTAGACCATTGACCTCGCATCCCTACAAAGCCGGGACGGAGCACGCCGGGTTCTCACCGGACCAGGCTCTCACATCACCAAGCGCGAAGCGCCGTGAGATATTCGGCGAGTCGCATGAA